AGGAAATGATGGAGGAAGACACCTGAGTCTTTGGCCGTCACATGCACATGACGTCACATATGTCAACACATACAGTACACACAGGCTCAAAGAATTGCCTAGCATAATGTGGCTCTATCGTAATAATCCAGGCAGTCCTGGATTATTAACTAAATTTCAGCCTATTTCTAACTGTTGCTCCACATTATGCAGTACCCACATGTGTGTGTCATGATGCTGTTTTGGGAGAAAGATCTTTTGAGGCAGGTTCTTCACACAGAACCCCGTGCTCGCCTTGAACTCATCACCCTGCAGTTCCTGAGCCCCGGAATTACAGGCACCGCCACATCCAGATTTTCTCTTTCCCTCTCCTCCCTCTCTGCTACTGAGCCACAGTCCTGGCTCCCCTTCTTTTGATGATGTGAGGAAGGATTGAACTCAGCCCTGCACCTGCTAAGCAGTGATGTTTTCAATTTTATAAGCTAGTTTTTCAGAGTGGAAACTGTAGGTCAAGTCAGATATATATATTTATTTGACATATTACTTTATGTGTACACACACACACACACACACACACACACACACACACACACATATATATTTGGCATATTACTTTATATGTATACACACACACATTTATTTGGCATATTACTTTATATGTATACACACACACACACACACACACACACACACACACACACACATATATATTTGGCATATTACTTTTCAAAACTACACATTTGTATTCCTCCCAGCAGTGTAGTGGAGTTCTCTTGTTACTGCTTGCTCTGCAGTTTTTGATACAAGTATGAGCAGTTCTTCAGTAACTTGTTTGCCATTTATATTTCTTTTATAAATCACTGTTTTCTTTGCCTTTGTTTTTTTTGTTTTGTTTTGTTTTGTTTCCCCATTACTGGGTATTGAACCTAGGCTTCCATTCTTGTTAGGCAAGTGCTCTACCACTAAGCTACATCCCAAGCCCTTTTTCTTACTTTTGATTTTGAGACAGTCTCACCGAGTTGCCCAGGCTACCTGTGAACTTGCCATCCCCCTGTCTCGGGCTCCCGAGTAGTGGGATCACAGGCCTGTGCTGCTTCACCTGGCTCTTTGCTTCTTGATGATTTTTAAAGGCTGTTTGTGTGTTAGCTGTGTTTGCTGTGGGACTCATACTGCAGACGCCCTAGTCCCTTTGCTTGAGCTTTGTTTAGGATGCCTTTGACCAGGAATTTTCGAAATGTTTTGTCTTCCTTGCCCTTTGTTAACCAGGGCCTCCTGTAGACCGGCCTTGGCCTTCCCAGAGGAGGATCTTAAACTTGCCCCCACCTCAAGTGCTCCCATACCCCACCATGGCTTGTCTTTTTATGCAGTACTTCAGCACTTGACCAATGCTGGGCGAGCACTGTCCTCACTGAGCTGCACCATCAGTGGATGATCCAAAATCTCCCAGTTAAATTCTGCTCTCTTGGCCTGATCCCCTTCACCTGGCCTGAGCAGTGTCCACTCCCAGGCTGCTTCTGTCCCCTGAGAGTTGATACACCAGAAGCCAGAAAACGTGTCAAGACAACACTATATCGTCTTTTACAGGCTGGTCAGTTCTGAGGGAAAAAAGCATGTGCTAGACATAATAAAAATATCATTCTCCATTGCACTCCCTCAGCCTCGGCTCTTCGATACCTTCACGACAACAGAATCATCCATCGGGATCTGAAGCCAGAGAACATCGTTCTTCAGCAGGGCGAGCAGCGAGTGAGTGGCCTTCCTGGGACTTGGGGGGTCCCTAGGGCTGCTGGGGTCGGCTCTGGCAGGGGAGGGTTTCTTAAGCTGCTCATTTCTGTATTTCCTCGAGCCGCACTCCGGTTCTCTTGAGAATTTCTTATGTTTTGATGCCTTTCTGTTTTTGAATCAGCGGTGCAAACTGTTCTTGCTGGCGGATTGAGGCAAGCTCGGATGTATCACGTTCTTTTTATTTATTTTTTTTCTCTCCAGCTCTGAATGTATTACATTGTTAATCGCCCAAGTTGCAGGAACCCGATAAGGAAAAATGTTTATTATTCCAGCCTCAACCCGACACCTCTTGGAGATAGACTTTTTCTTTTTCGTTTGTTTGTTACAATGAGCCGAAGCTGGTTGTGGATGTGGTTGAGAAGAGGCAGGCAGAGCTGGCACCTGCCCATCGCGGGCCTGCTCCGGCTCTGCCATTACACACGAGCTGTTCATGGCCCTTCTCAGTGGTAACCTCCCCACGGGCTTAGATACCGTAGTCTTTCCCAACTTTGTTCAACGAGGGGTCACCCATCCCTCCCAATACAGCTTCCCTCACAGTTCCTAGCCCAGCCCATGACTGTGGCAGGCTCATCGAACACTCATTCTTCCAGTAATTCCGGATATTTCCTGAGCAGGGCCTGGCCTGGCCTCTCACATTACAGATCCAGGCTCGGGGACCCTGAGGTCCGATATGTAGGCTCTTAACTGATAGATGGCAAAGCAAGGAAACGTTTGCCCAACATTCTTATAGTGCCCCAAGTGTACCCTGCTGAGGGCATTCTCCTGTGAATATGGTGGCCTTAAGGTATTAGGAACCAACATTAAGGTATTAGGAACCAACATTCTTTGGGAATTCAGAATGACTTTGTTGTAATGGCAAACCAACTCACGCTGTGGAAGGTGACTGCCTTCTTACAGCCTTCAGATTTCTTCTCCTCCCCCCCACCCCCCCTTTTTTTTTCCAGTTAATACACAAGATTATTGATCTAGGATATGCCAAGGAACTGGATCAGGGCAGCCTGTGCACCTCCTTTGTGGGGACCCTGCAATACCTGGTAAGCAATGGGCCCAAGTGTTTGCTTCTCAGTCTCTCTGATGCTCCTGTCTGTGGGTCTGTTTGTCCTGCCTGCCTGCATCTCAGGCCTGCTGGCTCCGTGGATGTTCAGAATTATTGTGTGAGTTCACAGTTGATAATTCACTCACGTGAGTGTTTTTGTGCCCTCTGCTCTGATGTGAGAAGGGCTGGCCTGTGTGCCTTTACCCAAATTCCGGAACCTTTCTGTGCCACGGAGTTCCGATTATCTGTAGAGGCTGTGTTCTTGAAGGGTCACAGGAACCAGTGAGGAAGAGGTGGGGCTGTGACTTCTTCTCTGTGTGTTGTGTGGTCTGAATGCTGCAGTATGATTTGATCAACTCATTCTTCTGGAACATTGTGTGCCAGACAGTGTGCACAGAGCTGGCAGTACAATGAGAAAAGAGATAAGCATTTCACTACTCATTGAGAGCTTAGCATTCGAGAAGAACGCAGGCATTAGTCACCGTGATATACAGATAACCCAGAAACCACCATTGCCACGAGTGCCACTGATAAAAGCACAGCGTCGAAGGCTGTGTGAGGAGAAGGCCGTGGAAGGATGGGGAGAGGGGACCCTGGCAAAAGCAGAGCGCACTGGAAGACACACTAGTGCGGCTCAGGCTTAGAGGATGCGGAGAGGGTCTGAAGTTGAAACTGGGGAGGAAGAAGGGACAAGTTCTTATCCCTTTCTGCTGGCCTGAAGGGTTTTAAACCATATGGTAAAAACCTGTGGAACAGCATTGGGGGGCTCCACACTGAAGAAGCTGCCATGGAATGATGTGGAGAGTGAATTGCAGCGAGTGAGTGGCGGGTGGTAAGGCAGCCGTTGGAATAGACACGTTCACAGCTGGGCAAGGAGGGTAGGAGGTGCAGAATGATTAAATTCAAGGCAAGCTTGCTCGGCTGGGACACAGTTTTGCACAGCTGTCATCTCAGCACTTGCCTGTAACCTAAGTGCTTGGATAGTGGAGACAAGACAGCATGAGTTTGGGGCCAGCCTGGACTACATAGTGAGCGCCTGTCTTCAATAAAGCGTGGGTGGGGGTAGGTAACAGACACTAAGGAAGACTTAGTAATAGCTGACTTATTGGTGATAATGGCCGTCAGATTGGGGTTGAATAATGGAATCTGAGTTCAATGAACAAAAAAGGTTGAAGGTCTCAGGGCTTAAAAAAGCTTAAGCATCCCATTTCTTAAGAAAGAAATTATGTCTTGTTTTTCTGAATTCATTAATGTTTCCTATGTAGACTACCAGTTAGAATGGGATCCCTCTGTTTCTCTTCTGCTGTATGGAATGCGGCTTTCCCAGCGGGACTGTGGGATGTGATTCAGGCAGTGCATCCATGGGATACTGTAATTATATACATCCTGCTAAGTACCCTCTGGAGTCCTCACTAGCTCAGCAACAATGAGGTGAGGTGAACCCGTGCTCTGACCACGATTGGCAAATCCTCGTATGGCTCCAGGAACTGGACCTGACGAGAGATAGCGAGGGAATGAAGCAATGACTGACGGCAGGAATGCTGGGACTGGGTGGACTGAGCTCTCTGATGGAGAAACAACCGCACCTCAGAAGCTCACTGTGTTAACAGAGAGGCGAGGTTACAGTTGAACATGGAGGTGGGCCAAGGAGCTCGGTGTGGGTTGGAGCAACCTTCAAGCCATAATATTTGGGGCACGGGAAAAGCTATGGTGGACATTTTTTGGCACACACATTTAACAACATTTATACCTGGGCCCTCTAGAAAATCTTTGCCATCTCTCTGAGCCTCACCCTAGTCGGGAAGGCTTTGCGGTTTTCCCATGAGTCTGAGGCTACGCCTTTTGACATGGTGGCGGCCATGTCAACAGCACACGTTCACTCGGGTCTTCATTCACTCAGGGCTCCCACTCAAGACGCTAACAGTTTTTCACCTGCGTGAATTAAAGGCCCACCCATAGCCACACCTGGAGACTGAGCTAATCATGCAATTTTAGCCCAGTTCCTCCTGGGTTTGACTCCCTGACCCATCTATGACTCTTGCATGTCCACGTAGATCATGACTGGTCCTGTCTTTGAGCCTTTGCTTGGTGGTATTCCTTCCTGGGATGGTTCTGCTGTGTGTTTCCTGCAAGCCTTGTGAGCCCAGTTCCTGTCCTGCCTCGACTTTCTCACCCTCCTGGGTCACTGTAGCTCTCTTAACCTGGACAGCAGTCATGCATCTTGGCTTTCTCCTGCTCGATTGTAAATATCCCATTTCGTTGTATGGCTCTATGTTACTTGATTCAGAGTTACCTGGTTTAATATATATGCACTGTGCATTGGGTGTGTACAAGCTGATGTCTTTTTGTTTGTTGGACATAGCTTGGCTCTCCGTCTCCTATGGTCTGGGTCCTGCATGTAATCTTCAATAAATACTACAATCTCATTTTTAAATACGGAAAGATTAAATGACTGTGAAATGCACAGTAGATTTACTCTGGTCTACCTTGAAGTGATTCCTCAGGATCCTGACTCCTCAGCTGTCCTGTCCACACTTCTCATTAACACAGTCTCATTAAGATTTGAAGTAGAGTCGGGTGGTGGTGGTGCATACCTTTAATCCCAGCACTTGGGAGGCAGAGGCAGGCCGATCTCTGAGTTCAAGGCCAGCCTGGTCTACAGAGCAACTTCCAGGACAGCCAGGACTACACAGAGAAACCCTGTCTTGAAAAACCCAAACAAAAGGATATGAAGTACAAAAGCCCTTACGTACCCACAGCTGACCCTGTTCAGGTTTATCTCGCTCTTGAGTGGACATACTCTGCCCTGGTGGTGAAGGCAGGGAGCTGGTTCTCCTCCTGGTAGCTCTTCCAGCCAGAAAGAGGGCAGCGTAGGCAGCCCCGCTGTGTCTTTCAGGCTCCAGAGCTGCTGGAGCAGCAGAAGTACACTGTGACTGTGGACTACTGGAGCTTCGGCACCCTGGCCTTTGAGTGCATTACCGGCTTCCGGCCCTTTCTTCCGAACTGGCAGCCCGTGCAGTGGTGAGTTGACCGGGTACTGGGGCGAGGGCGATCTCGAGGGGAGAGCGAGCCCCTGGCTCCACGTCTTGTCACCCGGTCCCTTTCTGGTCCCCAGGTTAGGCCCACATGGTCTGTGGTCTGTTCTCCCTTAGGACCCAGCAGTGGCTGTTCAAGCTTCTCAGCCTTGGACAGAGGAACGGTTGCTAACAACGTCTGTAAATAGAGCCCTGGTCCTAATAGGGTCAGTGTCAACAAGGGGGTCCACTCCAGACCATGGCAGGACTGTTAGCAAATGATTAGTAAAGGGAACAGGTGTACACACAGCAGGTAATGAAGGAATATTTACCCTTGTAGTAAAATTTGTCAACAGTAAGTCTCTATGTAGAAAGTTTTTACTTAAAGTAGTTTTGTAGTAGTAATAAGTTTATGTGTTTTAAACGTCGAAGTATAAAAGAATAATAGTGTAAAAGATTGTCTCGTGAAAGTTTCCATACCCCTGGTCTCCCTCCCCAAAGATGTGATGACCACTAGTGTTGTGTTCTTCAGGGATGCCTATGCCCTCCCCCCAGGTCGTCCTGGTTGTTTGTTTTATGTCGGCCTCTCTTTATACTCCAGTGGTGTCATAATCGAGCACTGCTGTGTGTGTGCCTTGAAAGCATTTGACACCAAAACTTTCTTCAGAGCAATTTATTTGACATACACAGACACACACACACATACACACACACACACACACACACACACACACACACACACACACACACACACACACACACACACAAAATCCCTGTCTGGGGCCTAAAAGTGCTGTACCGTTTGCCCCACAGATTAATTTTGTAGTATTTTGTGCATTTGAAAAATACAGAAATAATGGAAAGTCCTGACTTTGGTAGCACATACACTAAAATTAGAAACATTTTTTTTTTTTAACTTTAGAAAAGAATCAGCTATAATCAGATTATCTGGAAACAATCATTAACCACTTCCGTCTATCTTCTTAAAGACTAGCTCCTTCTTCGCCCTTTGATATAGCCTGCTTTCATGCTCAGACTGAGCATGCTCTGTCTTCCTGGGCTTTGGAAGGTCTCTTTGGTGTTCCACTCACTCACTGAAATGCAGCTTGCTTTTGGAAAGTTGAGTGGTTTATGATTGGTGCTTCTTAAAATAATACCACAAATAACATCCTTGTAGGTAAGCTGTTGCTCACAGCTATTCATCTGGTTATTTATACATTCCTATAAACAGAATGAACAGATTTAAAGAGCACACACATTTTAAAGGCTTTGAGGTGTCTTGTGCCACCTGCCAGAAAAGGCTGTACAAAAACATACTTCTGCAGGAGTACACCAATCTGACCTTTTCCCTGTGCCATTCTTAATGCCGGGGTCTTCATTTTCCTAAGTACATTGTAAGATTAGTAAAAAACACCAACTTTTCAAAGTACAAGTATTTACACCAAGAAAAACTATGTAGCAGAAGATGACCTTAACCTCGGGTCCTCCTGCCTCCAGCTCCCAAACGCTGGAAGTGCAGGCATGTGCTCCCACACCGTTTTATCCAGTGCTGAGGATGGAACCCAAGACTTTCTTGCATGCTGAGGCAAACATTCGACCAACTGAGCCACATCTCCATGAAAATAGTTTCCGATAAAAAAGGAACCATGGCCTTTGGAATCAGTTCTAGAAGGAAGGTTGGGGTGGTGGCAGCAGACATCAATTCCACAATTAGAGCCACATGCTGGCATGGCAGAGGCAGAGAACACTCTGGAAAGCCACTGTTCTATGATAACTACTTACAAACCAGGCTTTGGTCTTTCAGCCCATGGGTCCTGGGATATGGGAGAATTAGGTACTTAGTTCATAGTCATACATTATAATGTAACCATAAAGTAGTAAAATAGCTTCAACTTATTTGTACTCTGTTGGTTTTAGTTGGCCAAGGGATTGGCTGTTTTCTTTTCAATTCAAAGGTTAACTCTTCAAAGTTGGTGGGTTCCACACCTCAAATGGAGGAAAGCGTCACAAATGTTGGCCTTTTCTCTGCTTATAACAAGATAAGTGAGACCCAATAGAACTGAAAGAAGCTGGGTGGTGGTGGTGCACACCTTTAATCCCAGCACTCAGGAGGCAGAGCCAGGCGGATCTCTGTGAGTTCGAGGCCAGCCTGGGCTACCAAGTGAGTTCTAGGAAAGGTGCA